GACCAACATTTCCATTGTTAAGAAAGGTGGTTGTTTAGTGAATCACACCTCATTTTACCACCTTTTTTTTGCCATGGTTGTGAAGCTGCAGTTCCTTCCAGCTATTAAATGAATCTGGCTTTCCTCCATTGACTTAGCTTGTCGGAATCTGGTTGGGAAGGTCACAAATGGCGATCATGTGACTCCAAAACACCAGAACTGTCATAAATCCAGGTAGTCCTTGACTTATGACCAGAAGTGAACTCAAAAATTTCTATTGCTAAGTGAGATATTTGTTAAGTGAGTTTCCCCCTATTTTACCATGTTTCTTGCCACCATTGTTAAGTGAATCACTGAGGTTGTTAAGTTAGTAACATGATTATTAAGTGAAACTGGCTTCTCCATTGACTTTGCTTGTCAGAAGGTCACAAAAAGTGCTTTGAACTCTATTTGGGTCTTTGTAATTTCCTGTAACCATTTTTGTATTTTGGCCCAATATTTTTTAGCTTTCAGGCATAACCACCATGCATGAAAGAAGGTACCCTGCACCTGTTTACACTTCCAAGAGTTTGGATTTAAGTTTGCCAGTTTTGTGGAGGCTAAATGCCACCGATTAAAATTTTTGTATTGGTTTTATTTGTACGCAACAGATTTTGTCATTGTGTAATTTTTAATCCAATTTTTTCCCAATCTTCCAGCTGAATATTATGACCAACATTTTTAGACCAGGCTATCACTAATACCTTTACTATTTCCTCTGCCATATCAAAATTTAGTAAATAGTTGTATATCCTTGATATTAATTTCTCTTCTGTACCTAACATCAGTTTGTCTAATTGCTTTGGCTCTATATCAATTCCAAATTTCTCTGCATCTTTTTTATATCTGAATTGTAATTGGAGATATGGCCACCAGTCTATAGTCACTCCCTGGCATCTTAATTCCTGATTAGTTTTTAGTGTTCATTGGGTGTCTAAGATTTCATAGTATTTGGCCATTCTGCCAATGTCTACAGCATTGGGGTAGATCAGTGATGGTGAACTTTTTTTGGCTTGTGTGCCAAAAGCGGGGGGAGCACAGGGGGGGGGGTAATGCCACACCCATAATGTTATGTGCACGACCCCAGCATATGCATGCACTCACGACCAGCACTTCCCCTGTTTTTGGCACGCTTTTTTTGCCCTCCCCAGGCTCCAGAGGCTTTCTAGGAGCCTGGGTAGGGCAAAAACAGCCCCCCGCCTCCGGAGGCCCTCCGGAGGCTTCCGGAACTTCCGGAACTGGAAGTTTGGGAATGGACTTCTGGTTTACTCGTAGGGCTGGTTTTCGCCCTCCAAAGCCTTCAGGAGGCTTCCCTGAACGATCCGGAGGGCAAAAAACAACCCTACAAGCACTTCCGGTTTGCTCATAGGGCCAGTTTTTCCCTCCAGAGCCTTCAGGGTAGCCTCCTGAAGGCTCCGGAGGGCAAAAAACGGCCCTATGGACAAACCAGAAGTCCATTCCCAACTTCCGGTTTGCCTGTAGGGCTGGTTTTTTGTGGTCCGGAGGCTTCAAGGAAGCCTCCCGAGGGCGAAAAATGACCTCAAAAGAAGGCTGAAGTCAGCTGGCGCGCACTGAAACTGACAGGGCAACGCCTTGCGTGCCCTAACAAATGGCTCCATGTGCCATCTGTGGCACACGTGCCATAAGTTCACCATCACGGGGGTAGATCATTGCCTCCATAGTGGATAATCAGCCCGGGATTTTCATATAATATTTACTTTTAATCTCCCATGTTCGTATCAACGAACCCCTCAGTATGTGTCTGTAAAACTATGCATGTAGATTGCTTCTCGTATTCCACATGAAGGCATGCCACTCTGTCTGTAGATTGTGAAGGTCACAAAAAGTGATTACATCGTCCTGGGACACTGCCACCATCATAAATATAAGTCAGTTGCCAAGTCAGTTGTCCGAATTTTGAGCACATGACCATGGGGATGCTGCAACTGTGATAAGAGTGAATAACAGTCATAGGTCACTTTTTCAGTGCCATTGTAATTTTGAATAGTCACTAAACAAACTGTGGCACATCTACTCCAGTTGTAAATGCAAGGACCAGTCAGTGCTCTTGTAACTTCAAATGGTTCCCAAACAAATGGATTATCTGTATTAACTCCAAATCCGAACTACAATTTGTATACCGTATTTTCACCCATATAACCCGCCCACGCAAATAACCCGCCCACGTGAATAACCTGCAGATTTTCAAGATCGTGTAAAATGTTTCCCGTATACCCCGCCCACTTATATAACCCGCAACGAGTAAGCCGTCGGCAAACATTACATTAGCGCTATTCCATNCCCTCCCTCCCTCCCTCCCTCCCTCCTTCCTTCCTTCCTTCCCTCCCAGTGGTTAGAATGCAGTATTGCAGGCTAACTCTGCCAATTGCCAGCAGTTTGATCCTGACTGGCTCAAGGTTGACTCAGCCTTCCATCCTTCCGAGGGGGGTAAAATGAGGACCCAGATTGTGGGGGAATATGCTGACTCTGTAAACCACTTAGAGAGGGATGTAAAGCATCATGAAGCAGTGTACAAGTCGAAGTGCTATTGCTATTTCTATTTGCTCCCCCAGGAGCTGCAAAAATAAACGCAGAATAAAACCGAGTTGGCAGTCTAATTTACATTTTGTCCATCTTCTTGACTTGTCTGTAAATCTTGCTTGTTGAGACTCTTGTCCTCTTCTTCATAAACTGGCTCACCTGGTAGAAGGTCAGGGTGATGGCTTAGGATCATAGGATTGGAAGGTTCCTGAAAGTCTTTTCCTCCAACCTTCGGCCCACGACAGGAATCTTCAGACCATTCCACATAAATTTCTGCCCATCCTTTGCTTGATGACTTCCAGTGACAAATCCCCTGTGAATACAGGAGACAGGCTGTTCCATGGCTTCTGATTTCTCATCACCGTGAAATTTCTTCCTATTCCTAATTTTGGTCTTCCTCTGTAAAAATGTCCACCTACTGGTTCTTCTCTTACTCTCAGGCCTTGTGGAGAATAAATCCATACCTTTCCCCCCTGTGACGTTCCTTCGGGCGTTGGAAGACTATCATGTCTGGCCTTAGCTCTTTCTCCTTTAGATGAAACAGCCCCATCAATTAATCTTATTTAGCTATTTATTTTATTTATTTCATCAAGCATGTATCGGAGAACATGCATAAGTATAAACATGATTTTGAATACATGAAATGGATAGGAATAAAAGGGAACATTAGGACAGGGACGGTAGGCACGTTGGTGCGCTTATGCATGCTCCTTACAGACCTATTAAGGATGTGGTAAAGTCGACAGTAGACAGTCTTAGGTTAAAGTTATGGGAGTTTGGGGAAGAAACCACAGAGTCAGGTAGAGCATTCCAGCCGTTGACCACTCTGTTGCTGAAGTTGTATTTCTGGCTATCGAGATTAGAGTGGTTTACTTTGAGTTTGTATCTATTGTATGCTTATGTATTGTTGCGGTTGAAGCTGAAGTAGTCATTGACAGGTAGGACATTGTAGCAGGTAATTTTGTGTACTACGCTTAGGTCAGACCAAAGGCAACATAGTTCTAAGTTGTCTAAGCCCGAAATTTCAAGCCTGGTGGCATAAGGGATTCTGTTGCGAGCAGAGGAGTGGAGGACTCTTCTTGGGAAATACCTGTGGACTCGCTCAATTGTATTAATGTCCAATATGCAGTGCAGGTTCCAGACAGATAAGCTGTATTCGAGACTTGGTCTAGCAAAGGTTTTGTATGCTCTGATTAGCAGTACAATATTACCAGAGAAGAAGCTATGCAAGATTAGGTTAACAACTCTTAATGCCGTTTTGGCAATATTGTTACAGTGGGCTCTGGCAGTTAGATCATTAGAGATGAGGACTCCTCCTTCATCGGTCTTAATCCATAAACCCTTCAACATAGAGTTTGTTCTTCTCTGAACTGTTTCTGGGCAAGAATGAAGCCATAGACCCACAGAAGATTATCCACTCCGATTTCCTGCTTTAGAGTTTAATTTTTAGGCATTTTCCTCTCCCCAACCCAACAGATTCTTCTCTTGTGGGCCTTGAAGGCATCTGATCTCTGTTAACATAATGGTCCTCTCCAGTCTGGAGATCATGGGTACCAGCCTCAGCAGCTTAATTCCTTGCACAGTTTAATATGTTATTTTAATATGCAATATATTATAATATATTAAATATGATATTACTATACAGCAGGAGGGTCAAACTTGATTTCATTGAGGGCTGCATCAGGGTTGTGTTTGACCTCAGGGTCGATGGGGAAGTGTGGCCAGGATGGGCGTGGCCAGCTCGACACCACTCATGTCAGGGGTGCAATTAGTGGCCCAGGCCGTCTGCCAGCAAAAATGGGCTCCCGAGCTCCGTTTTGGGCTGCAACAGCCGCCTGCAACCCTCTGCCAGCGAGCTCCATTTTCATTAGCAGAGGCACTGCAGCAGTAGAGGGATTCAGCCGGTTCGCACCTATTCAGAAAAACTGGTTGTTGGAAGAAATCTCCTTTTGTTTTTTTCCACTTTATGGGGCTAATCCTGTAAGGAAGGCAGGAAGGAAACATTCAGGTGTTGTTTTTAGCCTCATCTTTGTTGCCCTGCTTACAGAAACTGCCTCTCCGGTTAACCCTGATCACATTGTAACAGCTAAGGCAAAGCGCCCATCGATGGGAGTGGTGTTGAGTTAGCCACACCCACCCGGTCACATGGCCACTGAGCCCCTCCTACCCAGCTGGTCATTAGGGCAGAGAACCGGTTGTTAAATTATTTGAATCCCACCACTGCACTGCAGGCTGGTCCTTCGTGTTTCCAGGATGGCTCTGTGGGCCAGATTTAAACACCCAATGGGCTGGTTCCATCCCACAAGCCTTGCGTTTGACACCCCTGCTACAGAGCTAATTTGGGTTAATTTGGGACATATCTTAATTAACTTGGAGACTTGGACATTGACTTCAATTTGGGATTTGATTTCCATTTAGCCTTCTGCTCTGTTCTTCTGCAGCAAATTGCCTAGCTGGGCCCGGGCAGTAACACCACGAATCTTCTATATCACCGAGAAAGCCTGGAACTATTATCCGTATACCATCACAGGTAAGGAGAAAATCCTAATGGTGTGTGAGAACAACCTTGGCAGACAGGAGAGTGTTGCGGCTGGCCAGTGGAGCTGGCAGGAGATTTGGATAGTGAGGAGGTTGGGGAGGAAGATGGGCCAGTCCTGGAGTCTGGGGAAGGCTCTGAGGAGGGCTCTGTGTCNATTTTAAATGTTTCATAAATGAAGTTTCTCTTCATTTATTCACATTAAACATTATTACTATACCAGGATCGTTTTGCCTAGGACTCTGATTTAATTCTGCATGATACTTGGAATGCTGACACTTGCCTTGTTTCCTTTAATATAGCAAATTTTGAGATTCAGCCAGAAATATTTCCATTAAACTTCATGTGCCATGCATTTGTTCAACAAGCACTGAACTGATAATATATATGATAACAGCTGCAAGTATTTCATACACCATTTATTGGAAAAGATTTCTGAGCGCTCTATGGAAAAATGGTTAATTAAACTGTGGGAATAAGCTTTGTTGTCTAGAATAATTTCATATCTAAATAGTAAATATGATGCACAGTTTTATTTAGAAACCATTTCTAGAGTAAAGGTTTACACTCATTAATGGTATAATAGAATATATTAGCCATATAACAGTTTAAATTTTCGGATTAAGACTTATTAGTTATCAAGCTCTACTGCATTGCTTATATTGGCTTATTTTTCTCTTTTCTCCATTTTTACTACTCTTTCTATATTCTTTTAAATCTGTATTTATAATAGCATTATTTTTATTTCTTCTTTGAAATAATAATAAGAAATGAATAATAAAGCAGAACAAGCACAATTTGGGCTAACAATGGGAAGTGTCCTCTTCAGCTTTTCCTTGGTTGGCAATCAGAAAAGAACCTGGTATAGTAATAATGTTTAATGTGAATAAATGAAGAGAAACTTCATTTATGAAACATTTAAAATGAGTGTTTTAGTCCAAATAAAGAGGCACAAAGAACTGAGCACATCTTCCTTTATCACTTACCTCTGAACCAACATCTGCCAAATAGGACCTGGCATTTAATCACAATAAGCACCAGATGGTAGCGTGCCAGTCAAAGAAGATACAATGCCACTAATCAATATATCCTGCAGATCATGTTACCTCAGCTAGTAATGAAATGTCTACAAGAAAAGAATCAAGCTCAAAGAACATCAACAATTCAACCTTGAGCAACATATATTCTCCACTGTTGGCAATTTCTGAAAATTTCCAGTTGATGAAGCTCTTGTTGACCTGCTGTCATTTCAAATGACTAGAATCAACTTTATGATTGCATTTTAGTTTGAATGCCTGTCTCTCTGTTATCTAATTAGCCTATATATGTTGGTTTCTCTGTGTATATATATGTAGAGTATGGGCATGTGAGTATGCATAACATGTATGCATTTTTATGTTCTTTCTAGTTCTGCCTTTAAGAAAGACATAGGATTTATATTGTGGAACTGATTATTTGAAAAAAATAAGCTCCTTATTACATGGCAACCTATAATGAGTCTTAATGAAGCCTGCAAACAGCTGTTGAAAATTCCACTTAAATGGGCCTTTCTGCATATCAGTAGCTTAGGACATTTTTTTACACTTCAGTTGCTGAATCATTTGCTCATCATACATATAATTTGAAAAATGAAAATGGAACACTAACGCAGCTTAATCAGTTTTCATTACATATTTTATTTTCATCAGAATTTTAATATGTTCTTATTGAGTAGGTACATTATGAAGCATCATATCAAGCCTTCACCTTTTTAAAATAATGTTCAGTTACTGAGCAGAAAATGAATGTTACTATACCAATATTCATTGCATTCATGTCTTTACTGAGAACATTTTTTTAAAAGATGGATGATCTGCAAATTTCTAAGAATTAAATCGAGTCAGTAATGTTCTGTCTTCCACTATTAATATTTAGAAGTTCAATACATAGTTTAAATTATCATCATCCTTTTATATTATGATTGGGATCAAAATAAATGCATGAAATCCAGATTTACAGTGCATCCTTGTATACATTATTCAGAGTTAAGTAGAAATCAATGGAAGAAGTTAGTCATAACTTAGGTCCAACTTATTGGAAATTCAATTCTAATAACGTGATTTAGCCTAATATAATAATAGTACATTTATTTTGGTTACTAACCAAAATTGTGTGAATTTACAAAATAATTAAATAATTAAACAGTTTCTATTTCAAATAAAAATAAAAAGAGCATAGAATTGTTACAGAGTCATCAACGCAGTTTACACTCTAGTTTTACGGATCTACAGATATTTAGCCACATTTAAGGACACGAAACTGTACTAGTTTGAATGTAACTATATCTAAAATAAATGAAAACTGGTATTTTGGCAGTCATCCCAATAACTGTGTTTCAGTTATTTTATGGTTATTTCATCATCAGCTTGAAAAATAATAGATGCTGTTTATCTTTTGTCAGTATAGTTTAATACTCAAGTTGAATAGTCTGTTTTCTTACCCTGAGATTCAAAGCCCATTTCAAGGCCTCTATTACAAAATTTAAATTAAGAAAATAAAAGAGAATATCTTTCAATAACTGCTATGTCATAAAAGTATATATCTTTCAATAACCAATGTACTACTATCAATATCACCTTGTGTTAACTGTGATATCCAGGTTCACAGTTTCATAAAGTCTCCCTCCCACACAATCCAAAGTTACAGTAATTATGATTATATTGTTTATGATATATTCTCTACCACTCAATCAGAACTAAAGAAGCTTCATAGATGAGAAGTGAAACATCTAAAAATAAAGCCCAGTTGCCTCTTGAAAAAGCACCTTTAGGACAACAATGACCTGGATGAATGAGAATCTCCATGACACTTTCTGAACTTCTATGATTCTGTGATACCTCTCCATATTCTTCTCTGATGGAGATCCATCTCCTATATGAGTATATTCCTTCACCACACTTTTGTGCAACCACGTTGGTTCTCTGATAGCCCTTCTTTTCTATTATTGTAATTATTTACAATTGGGATTTGAGTATCTTTTTGAAAATAACCATTACTCCTCTTATTCGCTTCTTCTCTCATTGAATGTTAGTTATTTTAATTCATTATAATATGGTTTTAAAGTCTAATGCCTATGTTTGATACATTAATAATATGAAATATATAAAAATATGTTTTGGCTATTAGAGATAGATATCATGTATTTCCTTTTGCAAACACATGCTGCCTTGAACCATTAAATTGAACCTGCCTGCCAAAAATGAATCACGGGCAAGCCTAGGGCTTCGGTTTTTAATTAGAAAATGCATGCGTTTAAACATTGTGGAATCAAATAGTGCATACTGTTGTGAAGGGACATGATTCTTAAGCAGAAATGTTCTTAATTGAAGTGGTGAGAAATGGCAAGGAGCTGCAGGAGAATGCACGTTTAATTGGTGACAATGATTATTTCAGACTTTTGAGGATCATGCAATCTTTTGAAAAAATATACTTATTTCAAAAATTTGTATCTACATTTGTGGCAAATTAGTGTTCAGTGTAATGTATTTTATTTTATTTTTGTTTTTCTCTTACAGTTTCTCAAAGAAAAGTCCTTGAGTTGAAAGAATATCAATAGACACACAGCGCCTATATTTATAAATGCATTGCATTGATTGCATCAATTTAATATTTATAAACAGGTTTTTTTATTATCTCCTTATATTATTTTTTACATGGATATATCCACTTGGATTAAATGTTTTGGCTACTGCCATTCTATTTGAAATGCTAATGCCCGTATCTCTCTTGCTTCCACAGCATCCAACATATTCATTTTGCTCTTTGCTTTTCTTGCTGACAAGGTATGAACATAGGACTCAGTTTAACTTCTCATAGAAGAAGGAATGGAATATGCAGAATTTGCCAACAGAAGAAGTCTTAGAAAGGTTATGATTGATAAATTACCCGCAGAAATAATTCTGGAGAAATAAAATTAATGGTGGGAGAACTGGCTGGGAGCTAATATTGCTACAATGACTAAAGCTGGCTAGCCAGCTCATGCAGCTGCTGAAAGTGGACCAGTGGACAAAGAGTACTTAGATGTGCTAGAAATGTCACAAGAAGATAGGTATGGGGAACTTCTATTATCCCACATATTATATGAAAGTAACTATAGATATAATGGTATGGTGGTATGGTATTATGATCCAAAACAATGCAATGGTATTATGGCACAAAACAATGCTTATTAGCTACATCGTCTGCACTGAAGTTCATTTCAGTTAAAGTAGCAATCAATGGTATCCTAGGGGATATTTTTAACATAAAAAATAGCATAGCTTTTGTTAATTTTGAATCAGCTTTCAATAGCTTCTTTCAAGGCTGGGGAGTAAATGATGTTTCTGTCAGTGCTGTTGTTTTCACTGCAGGAGCTAAGTTATACACCTTTATGATTTTTATGCTTGCTCCCTCCAATTTGACAAACAGCAAAATCCTGGCTCTTATTCATCTGTCCCCTACAGTCATATGTTAATAACGGAGTCAAAAGACACACTTGCTTTTGGTTTACTACATTAGAGTGAAACTAGCTGGTGGCAGCATGCATGGTGTCTACCTAAAAAGACAGATTGTTGGCTACATGACAGCTTGGTGGTTTAAGCAATGCTAAGGCCCTTTATACCCTGCGGTAATCCTACAGAAGAGCTGGGGATCAGCCAAGCCTCAAGTATAAAGAATGTGTCTATTGTGCTTATTTGTGACTTCCTTTGTCAGCTTCTTTTTTATATTTTGTGACAATATTATATTTTTTGTAAAAAAGGAAAGCCAGAAAAAGGAAGGAGGCACTTAAAAAAAAAAAGCATGAGAACTAATTGTGATGGTTATTCCTACGTATGACTGCAGGCTTGATTTTTAAAAATATGTCTGATGGGTTTACCCCATCTATTACATGATTGCTATATTGCTGGGGGGGGGTGTTAATCTACGTGGAGCAATTACCCTAACCCTAACCCTGCCTTCTTCCTCCGAGAGCCGCTTCTTTGCCAGCCTCTCAGCTGATCGGTGCCAGGCAGCCCCCGTGACACACGGACCCTGTGTGCAGGAAGCGAATGCCAGCCAGCATCCCTGCCTTCTTCCTCCGAGAGCCGCTTCTTTGCCAGCCCTAGGCATGCCCTTTGTGACTTAAGGGAGAACGATGAAGGAGCCGGATTCTCCCTTCCTGCCGTTTGTTCTTTGCCAGGGAATTCAACGCTTTGCCTGCAAGGATCGTGGGAGAAAAGGGGGATTT